ATAACCATGGTTAGTTTTCATGTGCTTGAACAAGGTGAGGGTTAGAAGATGTTCTGGTTATATAGTTGATAGAAAGCTTTCCAGACTTCTTACTATTGATTTTCTTAATTGCTTGGCTTGACCTCTTTCCCTTAAATTCATACTGCCTGCTTTTATGTAGTGCAGCCCTAGTTGTAGCTATCATTGAACAGGGATTCAGGAGATTGGGTCCTATTTTATATTTAAAACTGTTAAAATAGATCATCTCATTTTCTCAACTGTGAAATGAGTAGGATGTACAGGTAAGAGTAGAGAAATACGTTGTACAAAAATGAAGGATGATAGAATGAATATATTAAAATAATTTAAAAAAACAAAAAAATTGTGGAGAAGTACAGAGAGCAAGAGAGAGAGAGAGAGAGACAGAGGTAGGTCTCAGTTGTAACTGCTTAGTGGAATAAAAACGATCTCTTTGGCATTCCACTTCTTGATTTAGCCACGGTTGCTGGTAATTCACATAGTACCTGTAACTCAAGCCTTGACTCTTCCACTCTGTTTTCTGTCTCTGTCTCCTTATTTACTTTCAGATTGCTGTTCATATTCCTTGAAGTAACTTTACCCCCCAGCCCCTTCCTGTTACCCTTCCCTTGCATCTATAGAGGATTGCTAAGTGCTGCTGTAGAAAATCACATCTCTTCAAAGAAGTCACTTCAGAGGCCTCACCTCACACCAGCTTCTGCCCAGCAAGCTTTCTCCTTCTTTAGTCAGTTTCTCCACTGGTCTCTACAGTGGTTCTGAACACATTTCTACAGACTTTTAACTGTTCCCCACCCTCTTTGCCCCCTACTTAGCAGGTACACCTTAATTTTCTCTGCACAGAAAAAAGGCATTCAGTTCAAACTCTTTCAACTTTTGTCCCTTAAGCCTCCAAAGTCCCTTGCACGTGCACCCAGATAAAATGCAAGGAGACATGTCTTTGCCTTGCACGTGCACCCAGATAAAATGCAAGGAGACACGTCTTTGCCTGTGGCGCCAGACCACTAAGCATCACTAAATCCCACACTGGTTTCCCAGTGCGTACTTACCATCTTTTCCTCTCTGCTTACTTGAGCTCAGTGTGCACTACACCCTCTTACATCAAGAAGACCAAGAAAGGAAAAATCTTCCCTTAACTTTACTTCCCTTCCATTTGTCATCTTCTCCTCTTTCCTCCCCTTTAGCCAGATATAACAGGTTGGCTACACTCCCTGTATCATCCACTCCCTATCTGCCATTCATCCTCAATGGTGAACCACACCATTCCCCTCTGGAATGCTCTCACTACATGTGCAAGTGACTTCTCAGTGGCTTGAAGCCAATATACACTGCTTAGTCTTTATCCTACTGGTCTCTCTCAGCAGATTTTAACATCATCAGTTGTTCCCTCTTTAAAACTCTCTTTAAATGTCTGTGATGTTTGCAGTCTTTTATTTGCCCTCTTTCCTCTGACTTTCCAGTCTTTTGTTGTCTCATCTTTTCTGTCTGTGCTTTTAATCCTAGTGTTTCCTAATGTGACCCCAAAAGTCAGCTCTCTTTTCACTCAACACACTTGCCTCATTAGTCTCAACCACACCCAAATCTTCACATTCCTTCTGTGTGCTAATGAATCCCCGTCTGTATCTCTAATGCAGATGTCTCCCTGTGGCCTGCAGACTATTTTTCCAGCTCCCTTCTAGACATTTCCTCTTGTCCAAATAACCCACAAGTACCTCAAAACAATACATCCAAAGTTGAACTCAGCTCTCCAACCTGCCCTCCCCACCTGCCCGTGTCTGGAGTTGCTGAACCTTCCCTGTTTTGTACCACCATCCATTTGCTTGTGTTTAAACTAAAAAACTGAATGTTATTTTGGACCCTTCCAACTTATGGACTGGATAAAGAAGTTTTGACAATGAAACACTGGTAACAGGATAAAAAAGATAAGATGTTGAAAAGTGGCTCCCATTTATCGTCCCCTCCCCCCTCCTCCACATCAGCTACCAATTTATTCTCTATGTTGGCGTCCTACACCTCGGGTCCATTCACCTCTCTATTGCAAGTGTCTTTATTCTTAGTTCAGCCACTGTCATCTCGCCAGGCTGCCACATCTTAACTGTTCTCACTACTTTTAGTTATGTCCCTGCCAACCTGTGCATCTCCATACCAGAGTGGCCAGAGTGACCTTTCTGAAAATCCATGAGTATTTCCTGATCTGATTGAGGCTTTCAGTTGCATGTGTATCATAGTTGCTCTTTAACATGACCTTAGTCCAGGTCTGCTCTTCTTCCTAGTTAGCTCTTTGCCAGCTCCAGGTTCTAGCCGTACCTCCAACTCTGACCCTATAGCAGTACTCTTCTATGTCCTCTGAACAGCGTACATGCTGTTTCCTCTGCCTGGATGACTGAGCCTAGTTTGCTTAGCTAATTCCTCTGTGTTTCTTGGGGCCTGGATGTAAATGTCACTTCCTTTTGGAAATGTCATTTAGTTTCACAAATCTGGCTTAGGTGACTTTCCTCCATGCTTCCAAACATTAAGCCTTGTCACCCATCACCCTGGACTGCAGTGATCTATAATCATGAGGCCTGCAACTCTGAATTGAGAGCAGTGCTGTGGCTGTCTCATGGGGAGTGTATGAGTCTCCTTTGTAGATTCCAACTGTAGATTAGAATGAGGAATGGAGCTCAGGGGCCCAGCATCAACTGCTTCAAAGTTTGATGCTAATAAAGGAGGTTTCTGGATGTTCATCCACCCCTGGTTCTGGTATCCTGGCCTCTAGGAGGGCCTCCACATGTGCCCACTTCAGAGTGTGCCTTTGTAGTGCAGATCATGGTCTTCAGTACAGGATAGCCTGGTCCATTTTACCTTCTCCCCTTTGATCTAATCTCTAGTAGACTCTAATCTCATTGTTGCTAAGGAACAATGAGATGCCAGAAATGTAGACAAGAGTAGAAAAACAAAGGTATTCTATCTACAAACCAGTAAGTAAGCCTTTGAACATCCCAAACCATCTACTCCTGAATAAGACTATATAAATTGTTTTACTGTTCTGGAATGTCTTTTAGGTAGTCTCTGGAATGCCACAGATGCTGATTATAACCTCACCTTCATTCAGAGATGATGCCCTGACATTGTTGACACAGCAGAGATACAAGTTAAATTTGCATTTTTTAAAAATTTGCATTCTTTTAACAGAAGGGTTGTAAATTACACTTGCATGACCTGTATCTAGGGAAAATGTTGTATTGCATCCTACAGAGGAGATCCAGAATTGTATAATATCCTTTGGCGATTGTACCAGGTGTGTCTGGTATATTCAGGCCCTTACATATGAATGTATTCAGATTCCTAGTTCAGGAACTTGCCTCTAAAACCTATTTAGCAACCCTATTTACTCTTACATTTGTATAGTTTTACAATTAGTTAGGTATGTGTAAAATCTCCATTTGGCCTTCCAAATGCTCTTTAAGGTGGGCTTAGGAATTACCACCATCGTTATTAGGTGAAATGCAAAACAGAAATCATACTGCTAGTAATTGAAGACATACAGGTATTCAGGATAACATATATGAGTATGTTACATGTGTGTGAGGAGACAGTTTATTGTACCTCTCTTTGAAGATATGAGCCAATTGAGAGCAGAATCATGTTTCATCATACTCAGTTTACTGTAGATAAAACTAGATTGAAAACAGAGCCAGAACACTTAAATGATCCAGGATATGGATCATGCTTCTTCTGCTCCCTGCAACCTCTTGTACGCCAGTTGAGCTCATCCCCTGAGCTCTGGATCTGTTAGAGGACAGCCTCCATCCTCGGGGCGCTGCCTGGTGCTGAGGAGTGGTATGAGGAGATGGGGCTCAGGTGGGGGAGCCACTCACCACCCCAGGCATGGGTGGGGACAAGGAGATGAATGAGTGGCATCAACCTCTCCCCAACTCTTCTGAGAGTGCAGGGATGCCTGCTGTGATCTCTGTGGCAGAGGATTCAAAAGGCTATTGTGATGTCAACTCACTCGGGAAGAGATGACTAAGCTCCTTGAAGGCAAGGATCCCCTATGTTTGGACATATCTTAACAGAGTGTATTTTGGGGACTTGAGCATGTGATTATGCTCCACAAATCCTTGGCAACCAAACTGTGATCTGTGGTATAGCATAGTTAGCAATGCATAGATATTGTTACTTTACTCTGACCTGCCGAGGGCCCTGACCGGCCGCCAAGGTGTCACAGCCATCGGACCACGCTGTATCTCACCCATGATTCTTCTCAGAGGGTGACAGCACCCTGCTCTTTCCTTTGCTGCCCTTCCCTGCTTAGATTTCACATCCCACATGTAATTCTTTTGAATATTCACATCCAACTTATTTAACCATTTTCTCCTCATTTCTTCTAATTCTTTGCTCAACTTTTGGGGGATTTTTTTCTTCTTTCCTCCTCTTCTTCCTGTCTCCTTGTCAACCCTCTTCTCCCTTTCTAAAATTTCTCTTTCTAACCTGTTTGGGAAGTCCAAGAATAGAGCTGGTCACATTTTGCCTGCATAAAGAAGTAACATCACACTCAATGAAAAATAAGTTTTGGAAAGTCATGGAGAAGCCCAGAGACTGTTTAGAAAGTTAGCAAACGTTTTTTCTTTTAAAATGAAACTTTTGCTGAAACACTAACATTACAAACAAATAGATTTTTAAAATATTATTTAGCAGGATAAGTACAGTAGTAATGCATGCTATCATTTTTCATAGTAAATTTTAGTGATGCTCATTGTGAATAGGCTTTTAGGAGCCAACTTAGGAACCCACTAACTTCTCATTTTGTGGGAAACTGCAGTGTTCCAGGCTTAGGATAGTCTGTGGGACCAGCCAGTGTGCCGTGCCTCCTAGGTTCTTGTGAGTTTAGTAGGCACAGGGGTTCATATGATCTTGGTTAAGTCCTAGCACAAGTTGAGAATAACAGGGACTTCTTTGCTTCCTGCACATGACCTATGATCTCGGATGTGTCTGTCCCACAGGCAAAGCATTTGACATCACCTACGTGCGCCTCAAGTTCCATACCAGCCGCCCCGAGAGCTTTGCCATTTACAAGCGCACCCGGGAGGATGGGCCCTGGATCCCATACCAGTACTACAGCGGCTCCTGTGAGAACACCTACTTCAAGGCCAACCGCGGCTTCATCCGGACCGGAGGGGATGAGCAGCAGGCCTTGTGCACAGATGAGTTCAGTGACATTTCCCCACTGACGGGGGGCAACGTGGCCTTCTCCACTCTGGAAGGAAGGCCCAGTGCCTACAACTTTGACAACAGCCCCGTCCTGCAGGTAGGCGTCCAGAGGTTGACTTTGGAGCCAGGTGGTCTTTCCAGAGATACTTCTGGGACGAGGGCAGGGCCAGGTTTTCTCCAGCAAGACCAACAGCCAGATTATATTCTGCTTCTCTTACTGTTAGTGATTTGTTCTTACTGCTCAGATGACATTTGTTTTCTTTTTAATATACCCCTGCAAACATCCCAACCCCTGAGATGTAAACTTTGCTTATTTTTTTAACAAATTGATAACTTTAGTACCTATTACCTAAGGTGGGAACATTTGAGGAGGGTATTTGTACTAATTTCCCCAGTTTTCTTGCATTCTTGCACCTCCTCTTTGATTTGACAAAATGAAAATATTTTTTAACTGCAGCAAGGGTGGATAATCAAAACAAGTTATTTAAGATCCCACCTTTCTTCATTGTGATACAAGGACATTTCGACTGATTTGTCTGACACTATTACTGGGCACTGTGAAAATGTGCCTAACTATGCTGGCGTTTGTGACAGGGTATAAATGTGGGTACCCCTGGCATGATGCTGACACGTGATGGAAATGTTCCCTATTTTAAAATAGAATTAAGGATTTCTTTTTTCTCAGATTCTGTGTGCATATTCCTTAAAACAAAACAAAAAAGGAATCTTTTACATATTGTGTAGTTTTCTGGAACTTTTCTTATGTCCTGGTTCTTTGATTGTGGAGAGACTGATAAGCCCCATACCATGCTCAGCACATCAATGTAGAACTGGAGATGTTTCTGGCACATGACTGAGCTTAACATATAAACAGGCACAGCCTGTTTTGAGACAAAGAATACTGGATATGGGTTTGCAAATACTGTGTATGTCCTATGTAGAGCTGTTGTGATTTCTAAACAGGGTATCCCGTTTCCCTGGTCTTTATATTGAACATTGAATGTTTGCAGAGGCCTTTGAGAAAAGTGTTGAGAAAAGTATTTCTTGCAACAACAATAAATGTGTTCAAATTAAACAGCAGAAAGAATACCTGACTTTGATAGACAAAAAAGCAGAAAATTGAATGATGGGGAGAAGTGAAAGTTGATCAGCTAGTGCGCATTTGCTCACTTTGTTTCTTCCCACAGACTATCTTACTGGAAAGTCAGTAGTATAGTCAGTATGAAAAAGCAGTGAGGTAATGTTTTGTCTGTGGTTTTCTGGCATCTTTGCTAACTGTGTTCTTTGTGGGCTTGTCTTGAGCAGTTCCCCACTGGAGGAATTCTAACAGTTGCTGCCCTTTATGCTATAAGAGCTCACGAGACTGTATGTGGTTAAAATGCTGTGGACATCTGTAATAGATTTGGCCAGTTTTCATCATTTGCAAAAGCACTAATTAGGTGTCTCTGGCTATCAGAGCTCTAGTTTTGCTTTGCAGTTGCAAAGGAGGTTTAACTTTCAGCTGGTCTGACAGCTGACAGTAATAGGACTTTCAGCTGGTCTGACAATGAGGAAAGAGGTGACTGGCTCCCTCCAGAAGCTGTGGTCTCCCGGATGGGCAGAGGAGAGCCCACCTAGTTCCACTTTGTATGAATATTACTGAGGATTTATTGACTTTGCTATAAATAAATACTTACTTTCACTCTTTTTATAATGGGTCTTAATTAATATGACAAATGTTGTTCTAAACCCTTCAGATACATTTGATAGATTAACTCAAGTAAGTATTTGTATTATCTCCCTTTTGCAGATGAGGGCTCAGCAGCTCAGAAAAGATAACATAACTTGCCTTGAATCACACAGTTGTTAGTGGCAGAATTGGCATTCAAACCCTGGAAGTCCAGAGTCTGTTCTTTTTCAGGTGCCCATTATGAAAGGAATGGCTTAGAATCCTCCCTTGAGAAGCTTTACTTCAAGGAGAGCTGTGATAAAGATGAAGCCTGGAGAAGATATAATAAGCATTAAACACAGAGATATGTTTAGCTATTTACATTACAGACTGAAAGATTCCTAACATTGTGGTCATGAGTGGGTGTTGTTATTGGCATTCCAAGTTTGGATACAGTGAAATCATCCTCTCTTCTCCTTTCTAATTCCACTTGGAGGCCTGGCAGAGATTAACTCCGTGTTGTTCTGTGTGCCAGGTGTTTGGCAGGGTTCTCACAGTGGCTCTTGATCAGGGTGAACCTCCCATTTTCACACAGAGCCTCCTGAACACAAGGATTCCAGTAGCTCTGTGCTTGCCTGTTCTGTTGCCATGGGTAATTCTGTCCCAAGAGAGGACCCAAGTGGGCGTGGTGTCTTGATGTTGTTACGTAATTGTGCATTATTATCTTTAGTGATTTGTGTGGACCTGGGGCTTACTCACCGGCAAGGTGCTGGATTTCCCTCTCACTTGATCTTACCTTCTCAGGGAGGCTAGATCAGTCTTTTTCAAGGGATGCTCGAAGTATTACAAGAGGGTAAATGCTGGCATGCAAGTGCTTCTGATAGCTTTACTTGGGACATGTGTGCTGATGTTCTCCTGACTGAAGCAAACCGCTTGCCCAGCCTAAAGTCAGCATGGAAGGGACTGCATGGGGCATGGGCACAGAGAACGGGCTGCATTAGAGTCATTATGATGATAATCTACTACAGTAGTATAGACCTGATCCAAATTAGCTCATTGAAAGGACATTTATTAAAAGGACTTAGGTCTCATAAAATGTGGGGAAAAGCTGTAAAGCCTTCATTTTTGTCCTCTGTCATTATGGCTTACCTACCAGTTCCATCACTTGAGTCTTATTCATATTCATTCAGCATATTTTATTTGAGTATCTATGCTAAACACTAGGGAAGCTGTAGTGAACAAAAACAAATATTCCTGCCCTCATGTGACTTACACTCTGTAGGCATGGAGTATGGAAACAGATAACAGTGTGTAGGGAGTCTGGTGAGGAGGAGTCAGTTTTAGATAGAACAGCCATGGGAGGGTTTTAGAGAAGTGATATATGTGGGAAGGGTCAAAACAAAGACCGCACTGGTTGGCACAGAAAGGATTTATGTTGATTTTGTACTTGGAGGTGTCTCATGGATCTGTCAGTAATGACATGATATGAGGGAAGAAGACAGGTGGTACCAAATGGGCAGGAAGAGGCAGTGGCCAGTGTACCTAAGCACACTTGGTATTGAAAGTGTATTAACTCTGAGCTGCTCAACATCTGTGTGAAGAAAGTAGTAATCCTGCTTTGGGGGGACTCAGACAGTAAAATAACTGCTTTGCTCAAAGCAGAAATAAATCAAGAAGAAAGAGAAATTAATGGAGTTACTGAGTATTAGAATAGGGTTGATCCCTAGAAGAGCACAAAAGTTAACTGACACATTATGAATTTAGAAGATTTTTGTCACACTTACGTATTGCTTTTCCAGGCTCTTTATCTGCCTTTTCTGGGTCTGTTTTGTTTTCTGACAGGAATGGGTAACTGCCACTGACATCAGGGTCACTCTTAATCGCTTAAACACCTTTGGAGACGAAGTATTTAATGACCCGAAGGTCCTCAAGTCCTATTATTATGCAATCTCTGATTTTGCTGTGGGTGGTAGGTAAGTAAATGATCAAATCTTCCTGGGAAGCCACTGAGCTTTGGTTTAGGAGTGAATGTGGCAACTTGCTAATAAATATCTTCATGATGTTTTAGACTGTTCTTTACCAGCAACCCTACAGCAGTGCTTTGTGAGTGATGTTTGGCTGGGAAGATGGGAACCAACCTCAGATATCTTTCTTGTCAGAGACCTCACTGTCCTAGAAACAAAATAATTGGATTTTCTTGAGTCATATACAATCAGCACTCTTAGTGACTTTTTTTTTTTTTAAGATTTCTTTATTTGTGCACACAGAACTGGGGTACAAGCCAGAGGCTCAGAGACAGAGTGGGGGAGCAGAACAGGCATATCTACAAACTACACTGCTGAGGGGAGCAGCGGGCGAGTCAGGAGAGGTCTGCCTCTGGCCATGTGGTCACCTCCCGGGCAGGCGGTGATCGAACTCATGCGGAAGTGGCTTAAGCTTCTTAGTGCTGTGCTTTAACCCACTGCGCCACCAGGGAGGGCCCTCTTAGTGACTTTTTTATTGAGTACCTGAGGGCAAGCTCCGTGATAGGCACTGTTCAGAAGGCTCTGAAGAGGTGTAAGATTGACCTTTTCCTCCCAAGGATGAATTGACCTTCTAGGGTCTTAGGCACGAACAGGGCTAGCTATAAATGAAGATGTGCAAAATTAAATGTTAATGCTACCACTTGTTTAAATTATAAGGTCAAGCAACAAGAAAAGATGTCATATGTCACAGAAGAACTGTCAGGCTGGAGAAGCAAATGGAATCTAATCCAGCTTTTAAAGAATGGGTAGGCTTTTGATAAGCAAGGAGGATACCTGGGCTGGATGCCAGATAGGCATGTCTTGAGCAAGGGCTTAGAGTTGGGAGTGTGTAAACCCATGTGACCCCAGGAAAATGAGGTCAGAGATTTTAGTTAGCAGGTCAAGAGCCTTGGACTTAATGCCTCTGTTTTAGTCTTGAAATTCCAACAGCAGTGTCCCTGGGATGGGAGTGCTTGGTGAAGACTGATAGAAACTATAACCAATGAGATGATGCAGAATTTTTGGAGTAGATCTGTGAAATCAAAACAGCGGGTTGGAAATATCAGTATGCAGGCATGGTGAGCATAGAGTACAAGCAGTAGTATTTATATTCCTGTTACTACACATGTGCTCCAGGTATTAGCAACAAATATCTGATGACAGGGTGGAAAGGAACATGTGGATGCTTTTTACTATCAAGAAAGAATTATCAGGGTTTCTACAAAGGTAATTTTAAGGTTTGGTGATCAGGAGAACGATAGTCCATTAACAAAGTAAGTTAAGAAGTCGAATTAATTCGAGGACATGGTGAGTTTATTTTTAGACAGGCAAAATTGTGATGGTATGTAGCAGTCAAGGACAGGAGTTTGGGAGAAAGATGCGAGTAGGAGACAGCAATTCGAGATTCACTCTGGAACAATGTAGGTGCTTCAGAAGTTCTCAAGTATCTTATTAAGAGAACTGGTGGCTGTGTTTAAGAAAGCAGGTGAGGGATACATCAGCACCCAAGAGTACATGTTCATGTTCATGAGATTTCCATGAGCCTTAGTTTATGATTGTACTTGCATCTAGGGGAGCCTCGAGGCTCAAACAGTCTGAAAGTCTATCAGTACTAGAGATCAATATGGTGGCGAGGTGTCTCGAGGGTCTTAAATTTTCAGATTAGGGAACCTTCAAATCACTCATTATGGCAGAATATTGCTGACATCATTATTGACTGATGTGCTCACACAGTCCTTGGCTCATGACAGAGCTCTCCTGATGACCTGGTGACGTAGCAGTGATCATCCCCCTGTCTCACAGAGGTGAGGCACAGAGGTTTCCATTACATTGATTGAAGATAGAGCAGGCTTTCGGCCAGGCACTGGCTTCCGAGTCCATGCTCCCTGTAACCACGACACTTGGCCACCTCTTCACGCACATTTAACTGCAATGATTCCTCAGATGTCTTCAGAACTTGTTAGGGATGTCTGGTTTATACCTCATCCCTTGTTAAATAAAGCGACCTTTCTGGTTTTTTGCTTGTTTCATTTGTCCTCATACCTGAAAATGCAAACAACCATTACTTAATTTTGTTGAGCTCCTCAGTTCACAGTTCTGAATGATAAAATTGAAAGATATTGTGAGAGCATTTGAAGTTGTCCTGGTGCATCATCTTTCTGTGACAGTGGAAAGAAACTAATTTCTAGGACTTTATAGCTGTTTCAGTCTTGAGTGTCTCTTCTCTCCTCAGATGTAAATGTAATGGGCACGCAAGTGAGTGTGTGAAGAATGAATATGGCAAGCTGGCGTGTAACTGCAAACACAATACTTACGGGGTAGACTGTGAGAAGTGTCTTCCTTTCTTCAATGACCGGCCGTGGAGGAGAGCAACGGCAGAGAGCGCCAGCGAATGCCAGCGTGAGTGCCCTTGGCATTGACTGATTATTTGTCTCCAGGACTGACAAACGTGGAAGAAGGATTGGGTGGCTTCCTTAATTCCACCTTGAAAAGAAACTCTAAAGGGCAGTCCCTCTGACATCATTTGAGAAAGTAAACCCTGTGTCAGAGGACAATCCTAGATGAGGGCAGTTGACTGTAAATATAAATTGTGCACATATTTGCTCCTTTTGTGTTGCTTAATTTACACAGTTCTCAGAGTGAGAGCAGCGTCTTCAAGGTTTGCATTGAACTTAGATCCAAATACTGCATTAGAATAGTCTACTCTAATGTAGGGCTTCTTAGTCTTTTTTTTTGTTGCCCTATGAAATACTTTTCTTCCTTCTAATGCTCATTTACTACAGCATACTTGGTCATTGATTAGCATGTATTAGATTCTAGACTTTAAGGTCTAGGTTGAGACTATCATTCAAAAGATTATTTCCCAAAAATATTTTTCCTTTATCTCATTGAAGATGATAGGGAGATAGAAGAAAGAATTTTCCAGTGAACTCATACAAAGAGGGTGGATACCTTTGGGAAAAGAAGTACATTGGAATTCCTAGAAAAGGATAAAGCACAAAAGAGAAACACATTGTTTATCTCTTCTCTGAACAGACAGAGGGAAAAATCTTAGAAAGAAACCAAGAAATCCAAAGACTTACCAAGGACTTAAATAAGAAACTTTTTAAGCAGAAATAATGTTCTTATGTTCATAAAATTATTCCTTCATATACTCTTAATAAAGGGAATAAGAAAAAAGACAGTCTGAACCTCTAGGGCTCATTGGCAGATTTGAGAAAGGACTTGATATCTTGACTTATGCCTGTAGCTGTTTAGGATACATTTTTTTGTTCATGTTTTCTTTCCCTCGGCAAATCTGGGATTTGTGGATAAATCAGTCCCATATAGTAAACACTTGCTTGAGCATCTTTTAATTTTTTGCTCAATTAAATATTGTAATGTTCAATGTTTAATGTTGCAGTTAAAGACTGGTAAAGGAAATAATGAATCACCCTTAAAATGTGACATATAATCATGTACACAGGCTTGAAAAGTAGTCAGAGTTGATGTCATATTTTGAGTCTTTTCAGGAACATGAGGAAAACTTATTGCCAGCTTACCAAGTAAACCGAATACTGTAGCTAGAGAACTTTCTTGAGAAGCTAAGTCACTTTGCTTTTCTCCTTGGTCCATTCAGTTCTGGGATCCCTTCAAAGAGTGAGATTTCTAAAAGTTGGACAATACTATGGTAACATTGTCATGATTCTAAGGTTAGGAAAGAGAAAAAGCCTTCTCTCATTCAGCTGATGATGGGGAGCTATGGGTTAGAACAGCACAGACACAAATTGTCCCACCTTTTAGTTTCAGATTCCCAGATGCTTACGTGGAATGGGCTGGGTAGATTGAGGGATAATCAAGGAAGAACCAATGAAGAAGGGAAATGAATGAAGCAAGCTATAAGTTACTCAACACAATAATTTTTGATGCTAGTGATTCAAGTTTCTAAGAAGTTGTCAAACATAATACCATACAAAAACTGATTGTAAAGGAAAGGAGAGAAAATGCAAACACTATGTATTTTTTAAATATTTTTTAATTTTTATTAAAATTTTTATTACTTTTTTTTAAACAAAAACTTACTCTCTCTGAAATTAAATAAAGCTTTTATTTTGTCCTCAGTCTTGACTATAGTTTAGGCAGAACTAATAATTCTGAGAAAAATCATCTTACTAAATGAAGAATTTCTGTGACCACAGATCTTTGTCTTACAGCATGGCTGTGCTGTGCAGGGAATATAGTTACTTGACATGACCAGTGGACTTGGGAGTTCCTAGTGAGTGGGTGTAGCTAGTATACCTAGATTTCCTTTCAATTCCACTTCTATCTGCAGAGACACTAATTTTAAAACCTTGTCAATCACCTTACTCCCGGCTGGATATACAAGTAATCTGGCACTTTGAAAGTTAGCGCCTAGTGTCTTTAAATCATCTCAAGCTTAAAAAGTTAAGATAAATTGAAGCCTGTGAGTAAATTATCACCTTGTTCTTAGGTTTGTTTATAGAATGAAAGAGAAAAATTACTTACAGATGAGCATTCAATGGAAAATTCTCTTCTAAATGCAGGACTTCTTTGTGGTTTATGTCTAGTTTTGGTAAGGATGAATATTTCTTCCTATACTGATAACCTGACTATATATATAACCTTTTCTCCAGCTTACAGACTGGACTTGTTTTAGTTTTTATTTTATTTTTCTAATGAACAGTGCATGTAGTGGTTATTCTTTTTCCACCAGCTGGCACAGTTATCTGGGAGATGAAGTTTGGTTTTGAGTCTTTTAAAAAATGCCTTCATCAAGGATCATGGATCTGACTTAACTCGTGTGCTGTGTTTGCACTGACAGCGTGCGACTGCAGTGGGCGATCACAGGAATGCTATTTTGACCCTGAGCTGTATCGCTCCACTGGCCACGGAGGCCACTGCACCAACTGTCAGGGTAACACGGACGGTGCCAAGTGTGAGAGGTGCCGGGAGAATTTCTTCCGCCTTGGAAGTCATGAAGCCTGCTCTCCGTGCCACTGCAGTCCTGTGGGTGAGTGACAGACAGACTCTGGTGCAGCCTGATGAGTTGAAAAACAAAATAAGTCTTGCCTGTGCTCTCAGAAGATAAAACTTTGGGTGCAGATTCGAGGCACTGGCATGGTTTTAAGTGCAGAAATGTGTACATTATTTAACACAGCCTGCTTGCATCTGTGCCTGAACACACCCCCCCCCTCCCCCCGCCTCCACTCTCTTTAATCGAGTTGAACTTTCAGAAGATTTTCTGGTGTGTATACAAACATGGGGTTGGCCTGAGTAATGGTTTGTAAATAATTAGCAACAAAATCACAAAGATCATTTGAACTTTGACTGTAGAAGGTTAGCTGCTTCGTGAGGTCTTCCTTGTTAATGATTTTATTTAGTCTGAGCTCCTTAGCGAGCTGAGCTTTTTTTAGCATGTTGATGTGTATTCAGAGATGTGGAGCCCCCTTGGTCTTTGTTCAAGAGTTTGACCTTTTGTTTTTATTGTTGATGCCTTGAATTCTCAACCTGGGGCTTATTGGGGTTATGCTTGACCCCAGAGAAGTGACTGGTCTGGGATGCAGTTAATCATTTGGCACAGAGTGATTTGCTAGTGTTTTCAACTTGATGAATCCTGCATATCATAACTAATGGACTTTAGCTACTTTTGATTCATCTTCAGGTGTACATCTATAAAGTTTTGTTATCCTGGCTTGAAAGGAGGAGTTCTAATTAAAACCCAGTCCTTATTCTCTGTAGCCAGCTAGAGATTGCATGTTGTTTTCAGCTGCTGTTTTTAGTTATCAGTCTTCTTTCTTTGACACATTAATTTTATGTCCCTCTGGTGATTGACAAGCTTTCTAAATTTCAGGTTCTCTCAGCACACAGTGTGACAGCTATGGCAGGTGCAGCTGTAAGCCAGGAGTGATGGGTGACAAGTGTGACCGCTGCCAGCCTGGGTACCATTCACTCACTGAGGCAGGATGCAGGTAAGACTGTTCCAAAGCGTAGCAAAGGGGGCAGAATCTAAAGTAGTTGATTCATAACAGCAGTGATTTGTGACTTATCTACAGCAAGAGAAACATTTTCCCCATGGTAATTGTTAACAACGTTCAACTGATCATAATGATGACCTAGAATTGGTTTGTACATAGATTGAGTTTTTCATATCTAAATGCAGTGAGTAACCTTGATTGAAACTGAATCCTGATATAAAAATGACTTTAGGATTCACATTTGTTCTTACTTCTCTAAAAAAACCAGTCTATTAACATGTAAAACCAATGGATGACTTTGAGTTCAGTTTCTTTTCCTTCCTACCTTTCCTCTCATTGTTTTACCCATTTTCCATTTGTTAGACCTTGCGCCTGTGATCCTTCTGGCAGCACCGATGAATGTAATGTTGAAACAGGAAGATGTGTTTGCAAAGACAATGTGGAAGGCTTCAATTGTGAGAGGTAACTCATCTTTCTCCAGCTATTCTGTATTTTTCCTGTCACATTTTAAGTACTTGACTGATTGTAACTTCACCTTTTTCAGATGCAAACCTGGATTTTTTAATCTGGAACCATCAAACCCGAGGGGCTGCACACCCTGCTTCTGCTTTGGGCATTCCTCTGTCTGTACAAATGCTGTGGGCTACAGTGTTTATTCTATAACCTCTAACTTTCATATTGGTAATTTTGACCTTTCCTTCCATCTCCTATAATTTTGAGAGATTTTTAAGTTAGTAACTCTTTGAGGGCTTTTTTTTTAATTGTAGTAATTCTTCATTTTTTATATTTTTAAGATGTATTTATGCAGACAGAACTGGGATACAGGCCAGAGGTGCAGGGATGGTGAGAGGACTCACCAGAGATAGAATGGGGAGCAGAACAGGCAGATC